TTATTTGTTATAGTTATTTTTGAACACCAAACATCTTGTTTTTCTGTTTGCTGCACGATTTTAAATAAACCTGCACTTGGATCCACACCTTTTTGTTCCTGTTTTGATCACGCTAAACGTGACACATAATATCATTTTACATCAGATATATTTACTTTTTCCCAGTTACAAGAAAAAACAACAACAATGATCAACTTAAATGCATAAAAATATATTAAATAAATAAAGGCACAAATAAATAAGTGATTAAATCAACAAAAAAGAAACATATGTTAAAAAACTAGTAAAAAGGGGTGATCATTGCCTTGCTTTAAATGAACCACTACCAATTCAGCAAGAACAACCTTCTTTAATGTTCTACTTAAGAAAATAAGTCACCTACTGTACATCTTGACCTGAGGGTGAATAAATAAACAAGACATTTTCATTTTTGGGGGGTAGACTATCTCTATAAGACACACTAGAGTTGCTAGATTTTAGCATAATTTGTCTTTTAAACCCCATCAGTCTGAAGTTTGTCTGATGTTTCAGAGTATGGTGGAGGATGTGCTGGAGGAGAACGGATATTACAGCAGGTAATATTAACTTTTGTCTCATTCATTGGCTGTTTATTTGGTTTGTGTGTTTATTTAGATCTCCATCAGCCACTATCATTGAATCATAGCAACTGAAACCAATAATAACGAAAGATAAATTAACATTAAAATATCAAAATTAATACCAAATGAAAAAACCAGTTTACAGAAAACCATAACAATAGAAACCAATACGGTCACACTTAATTTTGCTGGCTAGTTTGTTGAATTTAAGTTACATTGCAACTAATTCTCATTAGATTATAAGTAGACTGTTAGGTTGCAAAGGCAAACATTTGTTTTTCTTAATAACATGCACAGATGAATTGTTCACCATAAAACTGATAATGTGAGCTAACTAGGGGTGTGACGAAATCTCGGGCTACGACAAAATTGCGACGAGATTTTTTCAATGAGGTGAAAAGTTGTCTCGTGAGTTGTGATGTTATGATGGAGCGCGAGGGTGAGTTTAGCACTGAAGATTGGTGGCAGGATTGAATTTGAACCACACACACCCAGTCTCGTGTCTCGTCCTGTCACGTGGAGTAAGCCTCTCGTCACATCCCTAGAGCTAACAAAATGAATATGCTTAGATTTGATTTCATTTGTATTTTAACCAACCTGTGTGTGTGTGTGTGTGAACTGCAGAAGAGATCTGGATTCAGGAGCAGCAACAAGACAAACTCAAACTCCCTGATCGATCGACCGTCAGTGATTGATTGATTGACAGCTGTCATGTCTGGAGATGTGGCGTCTGATGATGGCATCAACCTCTCAGGTCACACCTGACACATGCAGAGACATAACGAATCATAAGCTGATTATGTTCGTCTGAAGAACATATGCTGATGCTGGGAAATATATGAACCCATTAGACTGCAGTGACAGACAATGAGGACATACAGTAGATGATTGACCTCATCTTTCTGTCTATTCACACATTCACATTCAAAATATTTTAATTAATGCTGGGCAAAGATTGATTGTTATTAATTGCATCCAAAACAACAGATTGTTTTGACGTGTGTGTGTGTGTGTGTGTGTGTGTGTGTGTGTGTGTGTGTGTGTGTGTGTGTGTGTGTGTGTGTGTGTGTGTGTGTGTGTGTGTGTGTGTGTGTGTGCATGTGTGTGTGTGTTTTATTTGTGTACTTATCATGTATAAGTGAAACAAACACATACATAAAAACAAAACTTTTGTCACATAGATATTTAAATTGATATATATAATCAGAATCATGTATATATATATATATATATATATAATATATATATATATATATATACAGGATGGACCATTTATATAGATACACCTTAATAAACCTATTGGGAATTTCACAAAAAAAACAATGGTGTGCTTGGTTTTAAACTTAGCTTTATTCTTTCATGAGTTATTTACTAGCCCCCTCACATATACTACACTAATGTGCCACGTTAATATCAATAACCAATCCCATTTTATTAAGGTCTTTCCATATAAATGGCCCACCCTCTATTTTACATCTAAACATAAATAAGCTTTTTCTTAAATATATACATGCATGTGTGTATTGGGTATATATACATAATAAATAAACACTGCACACACTTATATCTTGTCAAAAAAACTTTTATTTTGGTTGCAATTAATCGCGATTAATCTTTCCCCAGCACAAATTTTAACTTAAACAAGTTAGTTTTAGTTTTCTGAAACTAAATGATTTCCATACAGTTTATTGCTTTCACTCAGGAATTAACCAGTTAAATAGACAGAGGATTTAGAAATTACATTTTAGAGCATTTATTTATGATGTACTGTATATAACATGTCATACACTGTATAAATATGAAGAGTTCAGATGCAAAAATCTCTAAACGCCGTCTGAAATTTTCTTCAAAAATGATAATTTTTATTAGACTTCTGTTTTTAGGCTCAGTAATTTTACTTTCATGGCAAATAATAAGTTATTTTCATGCTCATCAAAGTGAAATAACTGAACAAAAACAAAGGAGGCAGAGAATAAGGATTTAAAAAAAATTCAGATGGCACTTAGAGGTTTTTGCATCTGAACTCTTCCCTATATATATATATATATATATACACACACACACACACACACACACACACACACACACACACACATATATATATATATATATATATATATATATATATATATATATATATATTTAGTATAACTTTTTAAAAATTAAGATAATTTAATTTAAATGAATTCTAATAATGTTTGTATAAATGTTGAAATGAATGCTTTAGTGTTGTTTACTGCTAACTAATATTCACAATTTTTTCTTCCATAATTTTTCTATTAATTGTCTATCTCAGGATGACCAGTGCACTTTATACACATGCTTGTTTCTTGACTATGTTCTGTATTCTGTGTTTTCCTGATTAACTGCTTTTACAATAAATTGTTAAGAGTCAATAGTTAAATGGATTAAAATGGATTTATTTTTCCCCATTTTTTGTTAAACGGAGAGCAGATTTTCTCAACACATTTCTAATCATATTAGTTTTAGTAATTCATCTCTAATTACTGATTTATTTTATCTTTGCCATGATGACAGCAAATAATATTTGACTAGACATTTTTCAAGACACTTCTATACAGCTTGAAGTGACATTTAAAGGCTTAACTAGGTTATTTAGGTTACCTGGGCAGGTTAGGGTAATTAAGCAAGTATTGTTTTACGATGGTTTGTTCTACAGACAATAAGAGGCTAATAATTGTGAAAACTACTTTTATTCTAGGCAAAATAAAACAATTAAAACTTTCTCCAAAAGATTTTTTTTTATCAGACACACTGAAAATTTCCTTGCTCTGTTAAACATCATTTGGGAAATATAAAAAAAAAAAAATTAAACGGAGGCTAATAATTCTGACTTGAACTTCAATTTATTTCAGGTAAGCAGTATATTATCAGTTCTCTCTGTTCGATAAAAAATACAGACTGAATGTATTTTAACAGAAATATTCTGTAGATTGAATTTATGAATGTAAAATGTTAAAAACAGTAGATTACTGGCAACCACAGCTGCTGGTATTTTTCTGTAAAATCAAGAAAGGAAAAAAAAAACAGCAAAACGTTTTTTGTGTCACCATTGTGGAGCATAGTAGCGTCTGTGTTCAAGTCCAAGATGGACTGAGCGTATCAGAAGTTGTGCTGCATCTTCTTTTGTTTAAAGGTAACTATGTAGTTATGTATGCAGTGAACATCTGTTTGTTAATTGCAATCAAACATGAACACATTAATGCATCTAATGACTTTACATTTTTGTGCACTAAGCTATGATTTTGTAAACTGAACATTGTATCAGTTCATGAAATACGGTTATTATTCGTAAATTTAAACAGTTCTATAAAACTTCCGTATTTTGCACAGATAAATTATGGCAACCACAGTTGCTCATATTTCTTTTGTAAATTTAACAGATGTTTTACACTATAAGAGTTTGCTAATTAACACTCTTCCAGTGTTGATAATGTTAACATTTTCAAACGTGTTATTTAACCACTTTTATAGTTGACCTCATATAAACTCTACTCTAGTTAAATCTACTATCTACTAAAATTTGCAGTGTAGTGGATAAACATATGAAGTGCAATAAAAAGACATGATCTCAAATGACAAATTGATATGATATAAAAATATATATACACTGTATTATAATAATAACGTTTAAAAATATTTATAGTAAATGTTTTTTATATATAGTTTTGAATATTATTTAAAGTAATATATTTAAAGACATGAAACAAATTGAAATATAAACTTATTTTAAATTTATTTATGTTTAATGTTTAAATGAAGTCTTGTTCCTTGATCCCATTTGATTAGTGCTAAGCTTTACCACTTAAGCTCAATATGTTCTAAACTGGTTACTTATAATCTTCAGTTTCAGGAAGCTCCCTATAGACAGCAAACAGCTCATTAGTTTATGGAAAAACAGTGTCATTGATAGTGTTTTATATATATATATATATATATATATATATATATATATATATATATATATATATATATATATATATATATATATATATATACATACTGCTATTTAAATGCACACATAAAGTAGTTCCAGCAGATTTTGAGCATTCTAAAATCGACTGCTATTTAAATGCACAGATAAAGTAGTTCCGGCAGAGTTTGGTCATTCTAAAATGTGTACTGTATTTTAAATACACAGATAAAGTAGTTCCGGTCAATTTGAAGCATTTTTAAAACGTGATATTTAAATCCACAGATAAAGTAGTTCCAGCAAACTGTGATGTTTAATGTACGTAAACAGTGCTAAAAGTTAAATTTGTGGCTCAGTTCAGAAAAAAATACCCTTAAAAAATATGTATTGTGACAGAAATCTACTGATAAAACGTATTAAATTAAAATAAAAACATGTAATGTGTATTAAAGAGGCTCAACAACAAATGACAAGTAAATATTTATTGATTTTCTTTTCATAATGATATATTTCAAATAGATATACACAACTATACATACTGCACTGTTATTTATAAGGAAACAAACAACCAAAAAAACACATGGACACACCAAAACTGAATAGGGGAGCAGTATATCTTTATCCTATTGGATTACAGGCTGAGAAATGTCCATAATGTCACACTGTTTCCATATGCATAGAGTAAACCGCAAGAAGTGCATCCCAAAATAACTGGGACTTTAACATGGATTCCCTGCTCCACCGTTATTCCAGAGAAACGTCAGAAACAAAAGTAATAATAATAATAAGGCAATCTGTACAAACAGCCATAAATAAACTCCATTTCTTTCAGTACGTTTGTTCAGGTCCACTATACACGTTTGCATAATGGAAGACTTATAACACCTCTTAATACATGGTCGATATATAAAAAAACGGCTTTTAAAGTGACTCCGCTTATAAATTATAAATTGGGCAGGCGGATGTTTTCCGTCTGTGCTCCGTATTTATGGTGCCGAACGCACCTGTTCCTCGACACCTCGTGCAAAAGCCCTGTTATACAGGTGAAAACAATGCCGACATGCTGACATACATTCAGAAAACTGACATCAGATATTTATATACACAACAACACATAATCAGTCCATTAAGGCTAGACACTGCAGGCGAAAAAAAGGGTTAAAAATAAAAAGCTATCATTATACTACAGGGCTGTTGAATGCTTGCTTCTGATTGGCTGATGGGCATTCTAAAATGTGCTATGATTTGAATCCACAGATGAAGTAGTTCTGGCAGATTTTGAGCATTTTAAAATGTGCTGCTGTTTAATTGCACAAATGAATTAGTTCCAGACCATTTTGAGCATTCTAAAATCAACTGCTATTTAAATGCACAGATAAAGTAGTTCCCGCAGATTTAGCGCATTTTATAATGTACTATTATTAAAATACAAAGAGAAAGTAGTTCCGGCAGATTTAGCGCATTCTATAATGTGTTATTATTTAAATACACAGATAAAGTAGTTCCGGCAAATTTTAGGCTTTCTAAAATGTGCTGTTATTTAAATGCACAGATAAAGTAGTCCCGGCAGATTTTGAGCATTCAAAAATCAACTGCTATTTAAATGCACAGATAAAGTAGTTCTGGCCGATTTTGAGCAATCTAAAATGTGCTGCTGTTTAAAATGCATAGATAAATTAGTGCCGGCCAATTTTGAGCATTCTTAAATGTGCTGCTGTTTAAATGCACAAATAAAGTAGTTCTGGCCAATTTTGAGTATTCTAAAATCGACTGCTATTTAAATGCACAGATAAATTAATTCTGGCCAATTTTTAGCATTTAAAATGTGCTGCTTTTTAAATGCACAGATAAAGTAGTTCCGGCCAATTTTGAGAATTCTAAAATGTGCTGTTACTTAAATGCACAGATAAAGTAGTTCCGGCAGATTTTAAGCATTCTAAAATAGACTGCTATTTAAATGCACAGACAAAGTAGTTCCGGCAGATTTTGGGCATTCTTAAATGTGCTGTTTCCTAAATGCACATTTAAAGTAGTACCTGCAGATTTTGAGCATTTTAAAATCGACTGCTAATTAAATGTCGACTGCTATTCAAATGCACAGATAAAGTAGTTCCGGCCAATTTGGAGCATTCTAAAACATGATGTTATTTACTGCACAGATAAAGTAGTTCCGGCCAATTTGGAGCATTCTAAAACGTGATGATATTTAAATGCACAGATAAAGTAGTTCCTGCAAAACTGTGATGTTTAATGTACATAAACAGTGCTAAAAAAGCAATTTGTGGCTTAGTTGAGATGAAAAAATATGTAAAATATGTATTGTCTTAAAATATGTATTGTGACTGAAATTTACAAAAAGTGCAAAAAAAGATAAAGTTTATATTTTTTATGCTTTTTTTAAGTGCATGTTTACTTGGCATTTATGAAAAGCCTAAAAAGCCTGCAGCGTCTGGCCTTAATCAATACAAACTCTTCTGGACAAACACGACGTAAAGCTGCTCTTATACGACTAGCCATGCGTTAGCAGCTATTGCACATAAATAAAAGAGGAAGAGTCTTTCATGTGTTTTAAAAAACAAACGTTTTTCGCTTTCGCTTGTGCGTCATTAGCAAATATCACAATATCTAATAATAGCGTACGAATGCGTCGTTATTCAGTATAAAAGCCTGTTAAATACATTCAAGAGTAAAATGGAGAGCGCAGGTTGGTTGTTTAGGGTTGTATTTTGAAGGCGAGCAGCTCCTCGGAGTGCATGTTGTTGAGCGATCGCAGCTCAGGCAGTTTTAGGAGCAGTTTGGTGAACACGGAGGATTCGTTTGAGTGGTTTTTCATGATTAGGTTCCTCAGGGCTCGGATTAGGCTTTCCTGAAGGGCCTCCACACCGACAACGTCCTCAATTGCTGATCGGTCTGTGAACGCAAAAGGAATTCGGTGAGTTGCATGCTAGGTTTACTTAATGTGGTTTGTTGTAGTTTGGAAATGTGACAAAAATTAAGCAAAGATAATTGATGCAGCAAGACAAACAGTGAATAAGTTGATTTATATTTATTTATTTACTTAATAGCATATATACAGTTAAAGTCAGAATTATTAGCGCCCCTGTTTATTTTTTTTTTCTCCAATTTCTGTTTAATGGAGAGAAGATTTTTTCAACACATTGCTAAACAGAATAGTTTAATAACTCATCTCTAATAACAGATTTTTTTTTATCTCTGCCATGATGACAGTAAATAATATTTGACTAGATATTTTTCAAGACACTTCTATACAGCTTAAAGTGAGATTTAAAGGCCTAACTAGGTTAATTAAGTTAACTTGGCAGGTTAGGGTAATTAGGCAAGTTATTGTATAACGATGGTTTGTTCTGTAGACTATTGAAAAGGGGCTTAAAGGGGCTAATAATTTTGACCCTAAAATGGTGTTTAAAAATTAAAAACTGCATTTATTCTGGCCAAAATGAACCAAATAAGACTTTCTCCAGAAGATAAAATTTTATCAGACATACTGTGAAAATTTCCTTGCTCTGAACAAGGAACAAGGAACCAAACATCATTTGGAAAATATTTAAAAAAAAAAAAAAAATTAAGAGAGGGTCTAATAATTCTGACTTCAACTGTGTATGTATATACCTATATCTATCTATATCTATATATATATATATATATATATATATATATATATATATATATATATATATATATATATATATATATATATATATATATATATATATATATAAAGTAAATAAATTAAGTAAATAAATAAGTAAATAAATAAATAAGTAAATAAATAGCACATAAAAATATGTATAAAATAATTTACACATTTAAATGTACATAAAAAATACCAATCGATATTCAAAAAATTATATTCAGTGTGTTTTTAAATACATTTTCTATGATTCTTTTAATTTTTATAATTAAAACTTTACTAATTTATTATTACAGCAGTTTTTTATATTATTGAATAACTTTTTTTATTTAAATTATTGTATTTTTTGTATAAAATGGATTAAATGATTAATGATGCACTAATGATTAACTATTTAATATAACTGATGTACATTCCATGGAGAGCATTAAATTGTTAGTGAGTTGTTAAGTGTAGCAATATTGCTTCAGACTAGGTTGTAGAGGAAACACTACATTTTTAATTGGAATAAAATATAATTTATTTTTAAAAGTAAATTATTATAAATAAATTGTTCAATATAGTGTTATAATTAGTATTTATAAGAATCATAGCAAATCTAAAAATAACAACAAATAATTATTATAAAATCTATTACTTAATAACTTAATTATACATGTATTTAATTTATTACTTAAATACATTTAAATTAAATAATTTAGCAGATGATTTTATCCAAATCTTCTTGTTATTGAATTGAATTATTAATAATGTATATTAAAGTAATGCACACTGAAAACTGCTCTCTAATTAGTAAATAGAAAAGTAAAGTTGCTTGCTTGTGTTTATTATAAATCTATTATTGAATAATCTACTTTAAAAAAAAGCACAAGCAAGCAACTTTTCTATTTACTGATTATTAGTAAAGTTAATTACTTTAAATATATATACTTAAATTAAATAATTTAGCAGACACTTTTATGCAAAGCGAGTTACAAATGAATTGTTATTAGTGATGTATATTAATTAAAGTAATGCACACTATAATGAAAACTGCTCTATAATCATTAAAGAGAAAAGTACTTGTGTCTTCTTTATTGTCGTACCTGCAGACACGAGCACCACAGCAGAGAAGAGGCTCATTTCCTCGTCATTGAGCTGCAGAGCGGCGAGTTTCTCGCTGAACTCGAACATGCAGTTGAGCAGCTCTCCGGCCCCCATGGAGCGCAGCAGGTCCACACTGTACCTTCTGCCACTCATGAAACTCACAGTCCGCTGCTGCACGTCGAATAGAGGCACGAAACGCACCATCAGCACCTGCACAGAGGAGAACCGCAGCGTTACAAGCAGTTAGTCATTAAAAGTCATCAAACACATTGTTATTAGGTCTGTCTGAGGTATTGGGCGGGGCTAACATACATAACCACGCCCCTCCAGCTGTCAGTTTAAACAACAAACAGAAATGGTGAGGAGGAGGAGACTAATAGTTTGTAAAAACACTCTTCAAACCCCTTCTTTTTGAATAAACTTTACTACATCCAATCAGCTTGCAGGACAAGCCACGCCCACTGTTTTCTCATTTAATATTCTGCTTCTCTAGGAACTGCATCACAATACGAAAAAAAACCAATGCATGCAGTGTTTATATTGATGATTATGCTCATTTATGTAGCGCCGTAGTTCTGCAAGACAAGACATTTAATTTCACTGTATGTCCACACATGTACTTCCAGCTGAAACAGGATATTGAGTATGGGGCGGGGCTTTCTTTTGTGCATTTTTCCCTCACAGCAAACCAACGGTTAAGGGAGGCTTTACCTCAAATGTGCCGGCCTTCAGCAGGTTGACCTGGTCGTGTTGGGAAAGCTCCTGGAAGCCTGGGATCCGCTTAGCAAACTCTACAACCTCTCGAACGGCAGGGATGAAACTCCTGGAAAACTCTTCCCAGACTTCATGACCGGGTCTGGAGGCGTCAACAAACGGGGAGGCGCTCATGGGACAAACCTGAAAAAGGAAACAGGTGTGGTCAGATTTATTTCCACTTTTAAAATAAAGGGCACACTTTACAATAAGGTTTCTTTAGTTAATGTATTTACTAACATGACCTAATAATGAATAACATTTGTACAGCATTTATTAATCATAGTTAAGCATTTACTAATGCATTGACATTAGTTATTGCACTGTGAGTTAACATGAACAATGAACAACTGTGTTTTCACTAACATGTGTTGTTCATTGTTCATGTTTGCGAATGCATTAACTAACATTAACTAATAAAACCTTATTGTAAAGTGTTACTAAAATAAATTATTAAATAAAGAGCAGTCATATAGAGGATTATATAATAAAATATTTTGTAATAATTGTTACAATTATTTTACATATTACGAATGAGTTAAATTGAACTAAACTAAATTAAACTAAATAAATTGTAAGAATAATTTATATAAACCCTGACATTTATGAAGTATTATAAATGCGTAACTATGTTAAAATAATTATTTAAATAATTGTGTTATTAATTACACTGTACAATGTAATAACAATTAAACATTTTGTGTTTTGTTCACATTATCAGCATTAAAACATGACAAAAAGCATGCAAATATATCGTTTTATAACCGATATCGCAACGTGATCATTCACAATAGACACATCAGAGGATATGCAATGTTGAGTTTATAGTAGAATTGATCTTTGCTTGTGTTTTTGATGCCTGTGATTGTTTAATGATTTTAAACAGACATAAGAAACTGTACCATTCGTGACTTTAACAATGATTAATTTTATTGAATTATTCTTATTTTTATTATTCAATTACTGTACTTGAATACTATAAAAGTCAGAAAATTATTTAAAAAAAGTGTATCTTCTTGTATAGTTCGTTAGATTTTATAGAGATGCACTCCCACTACAGAATCATCCCAATCAATATAACATAAATTCTTTCCAAATAGAGATATTAAGTCATCTGGTGAAACTGCATTCATATTGCAAAATAAAAAAATAAAACAAAACATTGCAGTTAGATTTTTAACCAAAATTGTGCAGCCCTAGCATGAAAATCCAAACACATTAAAAGGCAAAATGTTAAATTCTGTAAAATTGTGAATATTTTTTAAATATTTCTTAATATCAAATGATGCTTATCAGAGGAAAGAAGTTTTTTATTTATTTATTTTTTTTAACAGTATTTCCTATTTAATTTAGCTGGAATAAATACCAAAAAATATTATTCCGTTTTAATAATTGTGCTTTATAAATAATTTGATGTGCAAAAGAAAATGTTTAACATCACTTGGGAAATATAAAAGTAAATTAAAATGAGTAGTAAAGCTAAGTAGTCTAAAATATTAATATATAATATTAATAGTTAATTTAATTAATAATATAATCTCATAATATTTTAATTTAATTAATCATTCTAAATAATGCACTTTCCTTTTATAATATATCTTTATTAAGTTTTACAAGGTTTTAATACACTTTTCTAATATTTAATAACATCTCAGCTATAATAACAAGACCTGTTTTGAATATTGTACTTTTTCTCAACCTATCAGCAATTAGCATTAGTCACCAATACCAGCACTCATCTATAGTTCATTCATTCATTTTCTTTTCAGCTTAGTTCCTTTATTCATCAGGGGTCGCCACAGCAGAATGAACCGGAAACCAGAATTTATCCAGCATATGTTTTACAGCTGCAACCCATCACTGGGAAACACTCATACACACTCATTCACACACACACACTCATACACTTCTGCCAATTGAGGTTATTCAGTTCACCTGTACCGGATGTCTTTGGACTGTGGGAGAACCCAGAGACTCAAACCAGCGACCTACTTGCTTTGAGGCGACTAACCACTGAGCTACTGTGCCGCCCTTATCTATAGTTAGTATAATTAATACGATGATGTAAAAAGCGGAAGATCAGCTCACCAGATGTGCTCGGTTTCCTCCTTCATTCATGTTCCTCCTGCAGTAACTCATGTTTTCAGTCGGTAAGCGAATGCACTGCTGCGCCGTCTGTTCCCTGTAAGGTCCTGTGGTGTTTTGACAGTCTGAGCGTCTCCAGCACTGCATCTGCGGCTCTTCTTCTTCCCTGCTGAGTGTTTCAGATGCGGCCGGGGAAACAGATGCACTGTAGGAGAATCGTCCGTCTTCTTCTCCGCTGTCGGACGAGCAGGACGAGGCGGTGTCCATCGGGACGAGCGACTCCGTCGAGGAGCGTGGGGAATCCGGCGGAGATGCAGAAGAAGAGCTGGACGAGTCGCTCGGAGAAACGTGCAGCATGTGCTGGAGCTGACTGTTGTTCATCATGTTGTTCATCGCCGTCTGCATCTCCAGGAGCATCCGCTGCTTCTCACGCTTCGGGATGCGTCCGAAACGCACGGCTGTAAAGACAAGTCAAGTTTAGGGTTGTTCCGATACCGATACTAGGACTGCACTATATATTGTTTTAGCATCGATATCGCAATGTGCGAATCCACAATAGTCACATCGCAGGATCTGCAATGTGCAGTCTGGATTATAGTTGACCAGGTAAACAGTTCAGAATACATCAAAATCGTGGAGTCATAATAAATTGAAAGTTGAATCAGTAAGCATTTTAAGTGAGTTTAAAGGGGTGGTCCACCACGATATCATATTATAAACTTTAGCTGATGTGTAATGTAGCTGTGTGAACATAAACAACATCTCTGAATGTAACACGCTCAAAGTTCAATGCAAAGGGAGACATTGGCTTTTACAAAGCTAGATTAGCAAAGCCTGCAGCGAGCAAACTTTGGGGACTACAAAAATAACATTCAGGTTAATGATTTTATAAACCCTTCAGGTTATGCACATACACCCTGTGCAGCGAAGGTGCGTGGCCAGAGGCGCTGTCTGTTATAACAGAAACGCTTCCTGGTGATGTGAAGCTAATCTGCGAATCACAGCACATTATGCTAGCTGACCAATCAGAGCCTCTTGAAGGGTGGGTCTTCAGTGGAACTAGGAAATACGACAGTCCTTTTATGTTAGCTGAGTAGCTATATATAATTAAAGTAAGGTATATAAAAAAATAACCTGATTTTCTACAGATGAAGCATGAGCACACATTGCTTTGCATCTTATAAACACAACCAAGCCTTAACAATACACTCTGGACCACCCTTTAATGCATTTGGGCACAAGGAATTATTACATTACGTTGCTTCAACAAAGATTAATGTCATTTAATTATGTATACAATGAAGACTATACAACTTTATTGTACAGTTGATTATAGTATTTCTGTAGCTGAATAGTGTTTATTTATATCATTATTTATCAATGCTGATAATTAGTCGATTATATTTTCTGCAAGTGCATTCTACAAAATCATCCCAAAGAATGTAAAAGTAATAATTATTTCCAAATCAAGTTATTTGGTGAAATATTGTGATATAAATTGCAGAAAATAAAATATTGCACTATATACTGCATGTTTTTTCCAATATCGAGCAGCCCTAACCGATACTAGTATTGGAAATACTCGCCGGTATCAATTCTGGCATCGGTATCACCATCTTTTTTAATGAGACATGCCCACGAGCTTTGCTTAACACTGCAAACCCAGAGTCAGTTCTTCTTTACAACTCAGTATGCAAACACAGGAAATTGTGTCATATTCATTTTTTAGATTTCTTTATTTTATGCACTGATTTTTGACTTGAGTAGACTTTATTTCAGTTTGATTGGAGGCTGAACTTGTTTCAGTAAAGTCCAGTAAATAATATCAGTGTTGCACGTCCATTTGTGTTCAGCAGAAAAACTGGAACAAGCGAAGGATGAGGAAATGATGATTTTTATTTTTGGGTGAACTGTCTCTTAAGGTCACTAGGAGGAGGAATGTGTTGTCAAACTCACCGTCTCTTGACATGCCGACGGATAAACACTTCTTGAAGCGGCACTGTTGGCAGCGGTTGCGGTTTATCCTCACTATAGTGCAGCTTTCAGTCTTCAGGCATTTCTTATACTGGATATTCTGCTGGATACTTCTTCTGAAGAAGCCCTGTGGAAAAAAAAACATGTATATCATCTTAATTTAGTTATTTTATTTGTTTAAAAATAAACTGTCATTGTAAATTTATTTGTAACATATGTGCTAAACAGCTTGTTCCAAACCCAATTTGTATAAAGTATGGAAAATCCCAACTGTTAGGATAAAAACTTTAGTAAGACATTTAACCCAATTATTGGATTTATCCATATTTTGTTGAAACAATTCAAATTTTTTTTTAGAATCGATGTATAAATTAAATTACTAATTCTGTTTTCCTTTTTAACCTAGCTGCCAACAAGTTTTTATCCAATATTTGTATATTGTTTATATGTATATTTATTTAATTCTAAAACCATAACTAAACCCTTACAACAGATTCATAACTCTAAAAAAGTCAAATAATATTTATTAAAATCAATATTTTTTTTTCACTTTTCGGTTTAATCCAATGTCCTAAAACATTTATACTCAACGGCCACTTTATTAGGTACACCTGTCCAACTGTTCCTTAATGCAAATTTTTAATCAGCTATTCGCATCATGGATGTGCAGCTGACAAATCTGCTGCAACTGCGTGATGCTATCATGTCAATATGGAGAAAAATCTCTGGAATATTTCCAGTACCTTGTTGAATCTATGCCATGAAGGATTAAGGCAGTTCTGAAGTCAAAAGGGGATCTAACCCGTTAATAGTACGGTGTACTTAATAAAGTGGCCAGTGAGTGTATATATAAGCTATGATCTAATATTATATAAGAAATAATGACTACTCAACTCAAACTGCTCAAAATGACTCAAATTAAAAATAAAATGGGGTACAAATCCTAAAACTGTCGACTATTGTAAATAGTCATAGGAACAAATCTAAAATTAATAAACTAATACATACAGTGCACTTACAGATACATGCTAAAACTGCGAATTTTTTGGACTGCAAGCAACTAAATTGATTCATTAGTACATATCTATGTTAGCTTAGCAAAGATGCCTTAAAATACCCATAGATAAGCGCTTTTGGAAAAGACCCCAAAAAATTATGCGCCTCCTCACCTTGCAGCCTTCACAGGCATGAACACCATAGTGGAAGCCAGAGGCGACGTCTCCACACACTTTACACAGCAACACCATCCCATTCAGCTCTAGAAAACACACGTCAGAGTCGGTAAATCCTGTCAGATGTGCTCACTGTGTTTGTATGTGTGTGTGTGTGTGTGTACTCACTGGTGATGGAGCTCTTGTTAGCGAGGCTTTTATCAGATGTGTGTCCACGTGTGTGTTTCAGCATTCCTGCGCTGATGGACAGATCTGTGGCACGGCTCGCTTTAGTGGGCAGAGGAGGAGAGGAGGATGGCGATTGGCTGGCAGAGCTGTCACTCATGCAGGACTCAGGGCTGGAGGCCGAGCTTGAGGAGCAGACATAAGCTATCACACCTCCTGGACAAACGAAAACACAGCAGAAAATCCTTCATTTAAAGACTATAACTAGGTATGCACAGTAGTTAATACATAAAAAATACAGCTAGTGTGAGAATTATTAGCCCTCCTGTATATTTTTCCCAATGTCTGTTTAATTTCTAAACATAATAGTTTAAGTAACTCATTTCTAATAAAAGATTTATTTTCTCTTTGCCATGACGACAGTAAATAATATTTGACTAGATATTTTTCAAGATAATAGTATTCAGCTGACATCTAAAGGCTTAATTAAGCAGTTAAAGTAATTGGGCAAATCACTGTATAATGATGGTCTGTTTTTGTTTACAATAAAAAAAAAATTAGGGGGCTAATAATTTTGACCTTAAAATGGTTTTTAAAAAAAATTAAAACTGCTTTTATTCTAGCCGAAATAAAACAAATTAGACTTTCTCCATAAGAGAAAATATTATAGGAAATACTGTGAAAAAATTCCATGCTCTGTTAAACATCATTTGGGAAATATTTAAAAAATAAATAAAAATAAATAAAATATAAAGTAGTGATGTCAAGAATATCGATAAATATCAATACTAAAATACCTAAAATAATACAATCTTGCTTTTTGGTCTCTTTTCACCAGAAGGGAGATGAATAATATTAATAATAATAATAATAATATTTGAACACTTTTTATTTAATCAGAAAATAAGATGAGATTGCACTTATTCAGCTTTCTTTTGTTTGTAATTTATTGCCTTTTGGATTTAAGGCCTGCTGCAAACCTGCTATTAGCATTACATGGTTTATTTTTTCCTTTTTACTTCCTTTGCATACTTTTAATTAGGGCTGCACGATATTGGACAAATCTGATATTGCGATATTTTATTTTTCTGCGATGAATATTGGGATATGAAAAATATGCTTACAATGCAAATACAATGCTTTTCTTACTTTGTTTTGTCTTATTTATAGTCCAAAGATCAAAACAAGTCTTAGACCAAGAAAATATATGGTTTCGTTTTCACCATCAGAAGAAATGAGTGAAAAATAAGAGTTTTTTTTTTGCTTGTTTTAAGGAAATTATCTGCGAGTGGTGTACACTGTAGGTGAAATAATCTTGTTTTCACTTTGAAATGTAGATATTTGGACTAAAAACAAGACAAAAATTTAAAGTAAGAAATGTTTTTTTGCATAAATCATATACATTTCATATGAATACAGTGATTAAATACAATTCTGTGGCTCCTGTACAACTTTAATTCAGACTGAGCATTGCATATATTTGCGATGTGACTATTGTTATTGAATTGTGATACCGATGCTGAAATGATATACTGTGCAACGCAACTTGTTCCACATGGTATCGAAAATCATATCGAATAACAATATTTTTCAAGGTATCGTATCAAAGTCGGAAATTCCAGCATCGTGACAACACAAGTATAAAGACGTTTTTATTTAACCGGGTAGAAAACAGGCAATGTTGCTTATTTTAATTTAATTTGGCTTACTAAAACAAGTATATTTTCAAAACTGACATGAAAAATTGCAAACAAAATGCAAAATTCCAGCATCGTAACAACACTTGTATAAAGTCGTTTTATTTTACCTAGCAGAAAAAAGGCAACATTGTTTATTTTAATTTAGTTTAATTTAATGTACAAAAACCAGAACATTTGTAAAACTGACATCTGAACTAAAATAGTAAAACTGACATCTGAAAATCTGAATTAATAAAACTCACAAATCAAATTTTTTTAAGTAGTTATAGTATAAAATAGATTTTATTGTCATTATCATGTCATAAAAAGGCAAAACCCCCATAAATGACTGTGTTGTGAAAGTACGCTTGACTCATGAATGATCCAGTGACCATTGCGTTCCATTCCCATACTGGACAATCGCTTTATCTAAACTAATTTGACTTGGTGTGCAGCTCATCCCAGTATGAATAAGTCACACATTTACTGGCACGAGGAGTTGCTGACACAGTTATGGAATTATATAATCATATGCTGTGCACATGTTGGGTGAACTTCCTCAGTCATGACCTAGATTAAAATCAATGGATTGGTGGATTGCATTGTATTTAATTACACTTACTAGTGCTGTAGCACAACATTTGCACAGAATGCACACACAAACACATACATACAAATATGTTGTTGAATGTGTATGCATGAAAGAAACGCCTATAAACAATACATTTTTACTGCTTTTGGACCTTTACGGTTTTTCTTAGAGTGTTTATTTCTGTCTAATGTGGAGACAACATACAAAATACACTTTCTTCTCATTTTCTTCTGTCGCACTTTATCAGTTTGTGCCAGTTATTAATACACTATATATGTATTGTTTAGTTTTTTATCAAGGGATTTGTTCACATACAGGTCATGACCATAACATACATAGTGTTTTCTCAATTATGAACTGATATAAAATGAGAGAACTTGTAAAAACATTTGACTGGGAATTTTGAACTTGCTTTCAACCAGTCTTCGATTATTGTGCTAGAAATGTATGCCAAATTAAAGCATATTTAATCAAATAGAGTCTCATTTAAATATTTTCACAAAAATATATATATTTTCATAACAATAAAATAATAATAATAAATGTAATATATCAACTAAGGAACTGTAGTAATAATTATTAGCAATTTTTTAAAACAAAATTGGCCTATTCTGTCTTGGCGTAAGAAAAGAAAATAGAATATTTGATGTCAAAAGATGTACAATATTTACATTTACATTTACATTTAGTCATTTAGCAGACGCTTTTATCCAAAGCGACTTACAAATGAGGACAAGGAAGCAATTTACACAACCAAGAGCAACAATGAATAAGTACTAAAGGCAAGTTTCAGGTCTGTAAAGTCTAAGAAGGGAAGTGTTAGTAGTTTTTTTTTTTTTTTTTTTTTTTTTTTGTACAATTAGTGTGATATTCAAAGAGGCAATTGCAGCTTAGGAAGTGAAGTGGAGACTAAATAGTTGAGTTTTTAGTCGTTTCTTGAAAATAGCGAGTGACTCTGCTGTTCTGATGCAGTTAGGGAGTTCATTCCACCAACTGGGCAGATTGAGCGTGAGCGTTCGCGAAAGTGATTTTTTCCCTCTTTGGGATGGAACCACGAGGCGACGTTCATTCACAGAACGCAAGTTTCTGGAGGGCACATAGATCTGCAGAAGTGAGTGCAGATAAGAAGGTGCTAGGCCAGAAGTCACTTTGTAGGCAAACATCAGAGTTTTGAATTTGATGCGAGCAGCAACTGGCAGCCAGTGCAAGCGGACTAGCAGTGGAGTGACATGTGCTCGTTTAGGTTCATTGAAGACAACTCGTGCTGCTGCATTCTGGAGCAGTTGAAGAGGCTTGATAGAGTTAGCTGGAAGCCCAGCTAGTAGAGAGTTGCAGTAATCCAGTTTGGAGAGAACAAGAGCTTGAACAAGGAGTTGAGCTGCATGTTCAGATAAGAAGGGTCGGATCTTTCTGATGTTATAGAGTGCAAATCTGCACGATCGAGCAGTTCTAGAAATGTGGTCAGAGAAGTTTAGTTGGTCATCAATCGTTACTCCAAGGCTTTTCACCATTTTGGATGCAGTAATGGTTGCCCCATCCATCTGGATTGAAAAGTTATGGTGTAGAGTCGGGTTGGCAGAAACTACAAGCATTTCCGTTTTTGCGAGGTTCAGCTGAAGATGATGATCTTTCATCCAGTGTGAAATATCCAACAGGCAGGCTGAGATACGAGCTGGAACCGAGGGATCATCAGGATGAAAAGAGAGGTATAGCTGGGTGTCATCAGCATAGCAGTGGTAGGAGAATCCATGTCTCTGGATGACTGGTCCTAGAGATGATGTGTAGATGGAGAAGAGAAGTGGCCCAAGAACAGAGCCTTGAGGTACCCCAGTGTTTAGATGCTGTAGGTTGGACACCTCTCCCCTCCAAGACACCCTGAATGACCTGTCAGAGAGGTAAGATCTAAACCATTGTATAACAGTGCCCGCAACGCCCAGTGACTCAAGCGTAGATAGCAGGATCTGGTGGTTGACAGTGTCAAAAGCAGCTGACAAGTCCAGCAAAATGAGGACTGATGATTTAGAGTCTGCTTTAGCCAGTCTGAGATCCTCCACGACCGAGAGCAGGGCAGTCTCAGTTGAGTGGCCTTTCTTAAAGCCGGATTGCTTGTTGTCCATGAGATTGTTTTGAGTAAGAAAGTCCAGGACTTGATTGAACACTACTTTCTCCAGAATCTTGGCCATGAATGGAAGCAGGGATACTGGTCTGTAGTTTTCAAGTAGCGTATGGTCCAGGTTGGGTTTCTTTAGCAGTGGGGTTACCCTAGCCTGCTTAAATGTAGTGGGGAATAAACCAGAGTCAAGAGATGTGTTAATTATGTGAGTCAGTGTTGGTATGACTGCAGGAGAGATGGCTTGCAAGAGATGAGAGGGAATGGGATCGAGTGGACAGGTGGTTGCATGGCTAGATAGCACAAGTTTGGACACCTCAGACTCAGAGAGCTGAGAAAAGGAGGTGAGTGTGTGGTGTTGGTGTTGTATCTTGCGTGTTTGTTGTAGGTGCAGCAAATTGAGCACTGATTTTTGCAGTTTTGGTGCAGAAGAATGTAGCAAAGTCATCAGTAGTAAGTGTGGAGGATGCGGGTGGAGGAGGAGGATAGAGGAGGGAGGAAAATGTTTTAAAAAGTAGGCGAGGATTAGTGGCATTGTTGATTTTCAGACGGTAATACGTCTGCTTTGCAGAAGTAACCTCAGCTGAGAAAGAGGACAGAAGAGTTTGGTATGTTAAGAGGTGTGCAGGATTTTTAGTTTTCCGCCAAATTCTCTCTGCAGCCCGAAGTTTTGAGCGATGCTCACGGAGAGCATCCGAGAGCCAGGGTGCAGGAGGACTGGCACGGGCTGGCCTGGATGCAAGAGGACATAATCGGTCTAGACATGATGCTAGTGTGGAGCAGAGTGTATTAGTGGCACTGTTCGAATCAAGTGCAGTGAGTTTGCGAGATGGAG